ATCCCCAATTTTTGAAACCCTAATTTGAAACCAAAATTACCCCAAATCGTTGAAAACACAAAACCAAACGGTAAAAGTTAAGGAAAACAACATCCATCCTAATAAAAACCCATAAATCTGCAAGAGAAGCCTTCGATTTACCTTGGTCTTGTATCGGAGCGAAATCGCCTCGAAATCACCTTTGAGAGAAACGGCGTTATGGTTTTCTGAATTTCGCGAAAAGTGCGTAAAAAAAAAACTTCTTATATATGTCCGGTCAAAAATCCGGTTAGGTTAAAAAGTAATTTGGTAAAATCCGGTTTGGACGACTTATTATTAAGTCGTCTGTTGATACTATACATCCGACTAAGTCGTCTGACTTATTAAATATATTTACCAGACAACTTAATTATAAGTCGTCCAGACCCTAAACCCTAAACCCTAAACTAAATTGACTAAAGTCCAGACCCTAAACCCTAAACCCTAAACTAAATTGACTAAATTAACTACTAACTACATATGTTATAAAATCAAATTATACTTAAATATTTTTTACTATACACAGAAATAAACACACTGAGGTAAATTTTAAAGTTTTCAGAAAAACATTTATGCTTTCGAATTTCTAACCCTAAGAAACACATACAATACTACAACATATGTTGGTGAAACCTAAACTAAAGAATATCATCACTCACAACTTTCACTCATCTATGCTGAAAACAACTGACTTTTTTTATATCTTAATTTATATCGCTTAAGACATATGTTAATTACAGACTCCCAATTTTTCATTTATCAAGATATTTATTACACAAATTTTAAATTATTTTTAAGAAAAACTGTCCCAGACGACTTAGTTTAAAGTCGTCTTGGCAGACGACTTTCAATTAAGTCGTCTGGGCAGACGACTTGCGAGGGCTAGAAACGTAAAAAAAAATTCTTTTTTTGTTTGTTCACAAGGGGTTGGTTGTAATTTCAACAGCCTTTTAAGTTACTTTTGCATTCGATTCAAGTTTGGGTTTACTTTTGCATTTCAAATCAAGTTTTGAGTCATATTTGGCAATTTTCCCAATAATTAAACATCTATCTGAGAAATGTATAGTAAAATCAATAATAAGTAAACATACATTAGAAATAAAATATTACATTAAACATATCATAATATTAAACTAGTAAATAAACAATATAAGAAAACAAAATATTAAATAAATATATAGTATAAGAAAAAAAATATGACTTTAAACATCTATCATAATATTATCATTTGATATAAAAGCGATAAAGTTAAAATTAGTTAAAATACAATAAAAGAAAATAAATAATAATTAAATATACAATATAAGAAATAGAAAAACTACATTAAACATCTAGCTGAAATTCTCTAATAAAATAAATAATAAGGAATTATACAATATTTGAAATAGAAATATTACGTTAAGCATCTATTATAATATTCGAATAAGTAAAAGAATAATATAAGGAAAAATTAATGATATGTAAATATACAATATAAGAAATAAAAAGCTACAATAAACATCTAACTGAAAATATATAATAATTAAATTATAAGTAAATACACAATATAAAAATTAAAAATATTAACATATATCGTATTATTACCATTTGATATAAAAAATAAATGAGAACAAGTAAATATACGATTTAAAATAATAATAGTAATAATAATAATAATAATAATAATAATGATAATAATAATAATAAGTAAATATACAATATAAGAAAGGAAAAAACTACATTTAAAATTCCTCCCTTACAGGAAGTTTGTTCGATAGGTAACCTCTATTTGAAAAATGTATAATTTTCTATATTTTAAAGGAAATATGTGTAAATATACAATATGTGTAAATATACAATATGTAGTTACATTTTCATATATATATATATATATATATATATATATATATATTAATCATTTTGTAATTATTTTCTATTTCTAGAAAATAATAAATGGTTAATCTCCAATATCATTTAGGTTAACCACACAAAAAATAACAAAATTTAAATATCACAAAAAAATTCACATCAACATTACAATACAATAATTTTAATCTAAAAATATGAATACTTTCTATTACATATATATACCATAGATGCAAATTACTCTTATAGCGTCCAAAAAACTAGTTATATAGTTCACATTTAAAAATTAAAATAAATCTACGCGTACACGGATTGACCTCTAGTATTATTTTGTGCTTGCAAATAGACAAATATTATAAGGTTTGGGTAGAACTTTTAATAATATAGATGAGCGTGTCGGCTTTACATTCGGAGCTGGAAGCGCTACGGTGGGTAATGGAGAACATTCTTCAACATTTGCCATGTCAGAACTTTGGGACGGACTGCAAAGAATTGTTAGCAATGCTCACGGATCCCCATAGATGGCCAAGTTTTTCGACGGCACTGGAGAGAATCTCAACGCTGAGGATTTGTTTTCCAGAATTCAAGATATCTTATGTACCTAGATCTCTAAATGTTGTGTCCGATTATCTAGCTAAGACTACACGATCCTTCTATCGTAATCTCCTGTATGTTGGTTGTTCTATTCCGGTCTGGATTCCCAGACCACCTCAAGCTTGAGTAATAGATCAGCCTTTCGTTGTCAAAAAAAAAAAAAAAAAATATAGATGAGCGTTTTCTTCACGGTGGGTAGAGAAAACGATCGAGAAAGACCACCACACAAAATCCAGCAATTTGGCAATTGACATTAAAAGAGTTGACAAAACGCTTCTGCTTAAACAGTGAAAAACTTCATAGGTCATAACACAAATATTTAATATTTATTTAAGCCTCCCGTCAATTTGCACATTTAGACAACGNTTCTACAACGCTTCATTCGGCCAATATCCCAACAAGGTCTACGCTCTGGGCCTCTGCGCAAGAGGCTATGATCCAAACGCTTGTTCCAATTGTATCGAAAAATTAGCCCTGGAAACACAAACGAACTGTGGAAGCATCATGGATTCGTTCATTTGGGGCAATGACTATGGAGAAACTGTTTCGTGTCTTGTACGTTCCTCAAACCACTCTTTTGGGAACATCGAGCTAAGTCAACCTATTACAAGCACAAGTCTAAATCATTTCGGGCAATCTGTAAACTTGACTCTTTTCATGCAACAATGGGAATCAACGGTTAATATGACACTCAAGGCTGCCACAAAAGCTAATACTTCCTCGGTACATAAGTACTATAGTGCCGTACACGCCAAGTTCACAGAGTTTGCGGATGTTTACATGATGATGCAATGCACACCCGACATAACTTCCCAAGATTGCAAACAATGTTTAGGAGATAGTGTGAAATACTTTAGAGAACAGTTTCGTGGAAAAACAGGGGGCATGGCTAGTTTTCCTAGCTGTTTATTCAGATGGGATCTATATGCTTTCCAAGGTGCTTTTGTTAATATTACTAGAGTTTCTGCAATTCGTCCATCTCAGGCTCAGGAAAAGGGGAGCTCTATACCAGAAAAGAAAGGTTATAGCAATGCTAAAATTTTGTAAGTATGATAAATTGTTCTCAGACTAATTAACAAGGGTTTATAATTTTCAGGAATAAGCATGCATACGAGAACTATCACAATAATTGTGGTTTTTATTTTCATTAATCTTTTGGTATTTATTGGTATCTGCAAAGCCAAAGCTCGGAGGAGGAAATTAATAAACGGATTAAATGGTAAGTGCACCTTGTTCATGCTTCAGTCAACCTTATATATTGTAGAGGGTAGGACTTATTTTTTTCGGTTTTAGGTTGTAGTGTAGAATACTCAGGTTCGGATGGTCATTTTATGTTACGGTTTGATCTTAGTATGATCTTAACGGCAACCGCTGACTTTTCGCCTGAAAATAAGCTTGGACAAGGTGGATTTGGTACAGTTTATAAGGTAGTAATAACATTTTTTTCCTGCTAATAATATTGAGATCTTGGTCTTGGATGGGCAACAAATCTTGAAAAACGGTTTCAGGGGATATTACTAAACGGGAAAGAGATAGCTGTGAAGAGATTAACCAGAGGTTCAGAAGGAGGTATAGAATTTAGGAATGAGGTTTCACTCTTGACAAGACTCCAGCATAAGAATCTGGTTAAGCTTCTTGGTTTCTGTAATGAAGCAGATGAAGAGATTCTTGTCTATGAATATGTCCCTAACTCAAGTCTTGACCGCTTTATCTTCGGTAAGTTTTTGAAAGACAGCTGCATTCTTTACAGTTTTTAGAAAAAATTTCCAATGATACTTTTTTTTTTCTAATCTGCAGATGAAGAGAAGCGACCGCTTCTTACATGGGAAGTGAGGTTTAAAATTATAGAAGGCATTGCTCGAGCTCTTGTTTACCTCCATGAAGATTCTCAGCTAAAGATTATTCACAGAGACGTAAAGGCAAGCAACATCCTTTTAGATGAAGAGATGAACCCTAAAGTTGCAGATTTTGGGACAGCAAGACTGTTTGACACTGATGAGACTCGAGCTGAAACAAAACGAATAGCTGGAACACGGTAAAATCATATCAATC